TCTGAAAATCTGTTTTATCTCTGCATAATGATAAATCATTTTATGAGTTACATGTTTTAATAAAAGTTTTAAATTTTTCGAGATTTTTACAATGGATCGCTCCAGTGGCCCTAATGTGATACCCCAGATCGGATCGGGTTACCCGTATCAGTCTCAGAGGGTTATAGAGATGCAGAACCCTCAGCTGTACCATGATGCCTACTTAGTAGTTAGAATCAGTAGTTTTGCATGTTCAAACATGTGCCACTAGCTATCTCATTTAGTGAATGCATGTAGTATAGTACATTTATTAGTGAGGTGCTATACTCGTAAGTTTAACGTTCGAAATGTGTTTCCATTCACAGGTACGTAGAAAGTCATTCATGGGGAGTTATTATCATAGACATTCTAGTGTAGAGGTTCAGACTATCAGAGACTTACAAAGTACGTCTTGAATCATTCTTAGAAGGCATGTCCTATTTATGTTCCCTTTCGTGTATTCAGTCGTAACTCGATTTGTACTCAGTATTTATATTATTGTGGATATATTTTGGGACCTCCTCATATTTTGTAAACTCATATTATTTTTATGTCAATTTTAATTGCTATGGATGAATTATTATTATCGGTTGTTTTACAAGTAGTTTTAAAGAGAAAAAAATTGGGTCACTATTTTGGTATCCTTGTGTAACATTGTAATCCATGGATCTTCGAGTCGAATTAGATTAAGGTGTTACATTTATTAGTATTAGAGCATCGAGGTTTAGTCATTCCTAGGACTTGCTGGTTAAAATCAATCATTGTTTGCATATGTACATGCCTTTAGGGAGTCAAGAGTACTATAACAACTGAAATGATAATGACCCCTTATTTCTTTCTAATTTCAAATAGAACCCATGACAGACGACCCAATGTATATTTAGGATAGTAGAGATAAGAGTCATACCTCGTTAGCCTTAGATACCATTGACGAGTTCATCCCGGATATCTCTCAGCAAGGCCTAACTAGATGCGGGGGTTGAGGAGACGACCTTTTTCAAGGACCTTACCTCCGTACTTAGACAGATAGCTAGGTCTTTCCTTAGTTCTTCATCTTCATCTGCACCAGCTCAGCCAGTGGTCATACCTTATGAGTCATCAGTAGAGCAGCTCTGCAGATATAAGATGACTGAGTTCTACGGTTCAGAGGATGATGATCCTATAGTAGTAGATCAGTGGCTCAGAGAGATGCTTCGTACCCTCAAACAACTGCATCTTACCCCAGAGGGTAACCTTGATTGCTTCATCGCCCTACTCAAGGGTGACACTATAGATTGGTGGAAGACGTTTAATATGGCTATGAAGCTAGAGAGGCCGACGTGGAATCAATTTTTAGACGAGTTTAGATAGAAGTACATCAGAGAGACCTACACCAATGATTTGATGGAGTAGTTCCTATACTTGACTTAGGGTTATCGCTCAGTGGTGAAGTATGAGTGAGAGTTTTTCAAGCTGAGCAAGTATGTCGCAGAGCTGATTCCAGCAAAGGAACACCGTTGTCACAGATTCAGGGAGGGACTTCGTTACAACATGCTGATACACCTCGTTGTCGATCATTCCAAGGTCTTCACTCGGTTGATCTACCAGTCGAAGGCGATCGAAAGGGCCCTGGATAAGCAAGCTTGGAAGATAAATGAGGTTGTGAGACAGATTATAAGAGCCCCTGTGCCAGCAAGGCCATCTTTATCCCTATCTAAGAGGGTTAGAGACAGTCAAGGTTCGTCGAGACCCCTAGCAGCACAGTCTATGATGACTGGGCAGAGTTCTGACTGTGGAGGTAGGTCCGATTAAAGGAGGAGACTACTAAACGTAGCCTCCGGGGGTGACGCCAGTGAGTCGACCAGAGTCTTTATTTATCTAATTTGTGATAAGTATGAGGAGAAGCACCTAGGGACGTGCCAGCAGGGTTCGAGGAGTTACTACAATTACGACTCCATGGACCACTTCGTCAAAGACTTTTTAGGAGCTCAAGGTACAACATCAACAGTGACTTAGTGATCGGTACCATTAGTGTAGAGAGGTCGATGGCCAGCTAGGGGTGGTAAAATTGTGTTTGGACAACAGAGTCATGTAACAGCTAGATCAATGGTTGGTGCAGAGCCAAGAGTGACATCCATGCAGTACGCGGTGAGAGCCTGAGAGGAGTGTGACACAGTAGATGCTATATCATGTACATTCACAGTTTTTCCATTCCAGTTACTACATTGATAAACCCCAATTTCACCCACTCTTATATATGCTCCGACCTAATTAAAAAAATAGAAATCCTACTAAAGGATCTTGAGATAGGTGTTCGAGTATCGAGCCCCCTAGGTCTAGACGTCATTGTGGATAAATATGTCCAGTGAGAATTCAGTATCAGACATTTCCAACAGATTTGATGGAGTTACCCTTCAGGGAGTTAGATATGATTTTAGGGATGGATTGGTTAACAAAGCACGATGACATCTTGAGGTACAAAGGTAGACGACTTAAGCTCAGGACAACCAATGTGACCAAATTAGTAATGACCAGCAAGAGATCCCGCAAGTCAAGGATATTATCAGCCTTGAAAGACCAAACAACGATCGTCCGTGGGTGTGAGACCTTCTTGGCTCACGTAGTCGACACTTGAATTTCAATACCCATACTCGAGGATATCTGAGTAGCTGGAGATTTTTCCGATGTGTTCCCATAGGAATTACTTGGTTAACCACCCGAGCGTGAGTTAGAGTTTGGCATTGAGATAATATCGGGTTTAGCTCCGGTGTCTATGGCTCTCTATCGTATGACACTGAGAGAACTAAAGGAGTTAAAGGCTCAGATTCAGGAGTTGTTAGAGAATAGCTTCATTCGATCTAGCATCTCTCATTAGGAGCGTCAATCTTGTTTATTGGGGAGAATTGTAATGCCCCGGATCCGGGTTAGGAGTTTAGGCTAACCCAAGATGGGCTTTAGGCAAGTAATTTAATTTATAGGAAGCCTTGACCAAAAAACAAGTTAAATTAGGCTTGGATTGAGCCCAATAGTGGAAAAATGGGTATTTTTAGTTGCAGTCAGAATCAAAGGGACCAAGAAAATAATTATACCATTGTTCAAAAATAAAATAGAAAACCAATTAAGGATTGTGAGATCACATCTGATTCCTTCACTTTTCTTTTTTGCATCTTCATCTTATTCTCCCAAACTCTCATATTCTTCTTCATCTTCTTCTTAGACAAGCTTGGTTAAAAAGAAAACTTTAGTTTGTTTTTAGCATTTCACAACAAGCCAAGGTAAGAATCGGATTCAACCCATTCCATGCTTCACTCCAAACCCACGTTTACAATGTTTGACCATAGTTTCAAGAAATGAGTTTTATGGGGGTTTAAGGGATTCATAGATTTAAACTTGTTTTCAATAGTTTATAGGCTTTAGGAGAGTCCTCAAGATCTTTTAAAGCATTAAACTCAGCTTGTAATCCTTGCTATTGGTTCTTGTATGGTGAGAAATGTTAGAGAAAGCTCAAAAGCTAAGGGGAAGGAAAAACTTGCTCTTAGTTGATCTTTGGAAACTCTTAACAGATTAGAATCAACAAATAACTCACTAAAAGGACCCTATGACTGATACCAAAAGCAGAGTACTAAAAGGATATAAATTTATCTATCATCATCATCCTCGTCGAATGAGGGTCTATAGCATTTTGCATTAATTTCGTATCGTGTCCAGTGAAAATAACCATGCAATAAATATTATCAATATTTTTCAATCTAGAACCTCTCAAAAGGATTTGTTGAAGGGAAAACACTCTGATAAATGCCATGATTTGGTACAACTTTGATTTTGAGGTAGTGATCAGTTTAACTTCAATACTTATTTTAGTAGAATTCTAACTTAAAGTTTTGGTTTTTATTTTAGTCTAAAGTACATAAATGGTCCTCTTCCAGTAGGATATGTTTTTTTTTTAAGTTTTCAACTATTAAAATTTACAAAATGATTCTTCAACTATAGGATGTTATTTTGTTGAATTTTTCATCTATTAAAAGTTATAAAATGATCACTCAACTATTCATATGTTCTAAACTCGTCGTTCTTTGTTAAAAAATTAGTGGTTGTTTGAACTAGACGTTAACATGTTTATAGGATATGATAAAATAAGATCCTAGAACTGTTTGAGTTGTATTTTATGGACCAAATTTCCGTTTACATTATGTCATCGAGCCAGTGGTTAAAACATTTTGTCATCGAGTTGCTGCTTGAAAGAATTGGTTGCGCTAGTAGACATCATTAAAATATGATTTTATCATATCTCAATCAGCATGTTAACATCTAGCTCAAGTGACCTAGAAAATAATGAGTTTAGAACATATGAATAGTCAAGTGACTATTTTATAACTTTTAATAGTCAACAATTTATAGTCAAGAGACTATTTTGTAATTTTTAATAATTAAGAGACTTAATAAAAATAATACCTTATAGTCGGGGATCATTTGTATACTTTATTCTTTATTTTAATTGAATAAAATAATAATATATGTCTTTATCTTATTAGTTCGAATAAAATTACTAAAAATAATATATAGATTGTTAATGAAGAAAAAAATAACTTTCAAAATAAAGAAAATAAAGAAAATTTACGCCAATACCATCGTTAATTTTAACTTTCGGTAATCAAAATAAAAAAGCCGTAATAATAATGATGATTTTGTCAAAACATTATTTTGGTGATCAAAATAAGAAAAAAGGGATAGGTTGATGACTAATAGTGTAATTTAATCTTTTATTCTTATTGTAAATTGCAAGTTGAAAGCGGAAAATAAAGAAAATCGAAACACGATGATCGGTTGTTTTTGTTGACTTGTTGTTGAACATGTTTTTCCTACAACACGAACCCACTCAACATCTCAACAAATCCCTTCTCAACACGTGTTAGACTCAACCTCTTATGCGTGCCCTTCACGTGCCAATGTCGTGAAAGCCGTATGAAAAACAAAGCCAAAGCATTCATGCACCTTTTGTTAATTTCTGTGTGGGAAGCAGAGAGAGAAAGAGAGAGACATAGAGAGAGAGATAGGAAGGACCAAACCAAAACACAAAGTATGGGTAAGGTAGTGGAGAAGAAGAGGAGGAAGAAGAAAGGAAGACCTTCTCTTCTAGATCTTCAGAAACGGAACCTTAAAGAACAACAGCAAAGTCAACAGGACAGCAGAAGAAATTATTCCACCCCGACAACCACTCTTAATTACGACTCTGCCACTGCTACTCCTCCCCGCCGATCCACCCGCCGCCATCCCAATCATTCCTCGGGGGATAACGACGACGACGGACAAGACAACGCCAGTGACGAAGAAGAAGAAGGACAAGATGAGGAGGAGGAAGAAGAAGAAGAATTGGTCGGAAAAAAACGACGGGAGAAGAAGATGAAACTGGTTCTCAAGCTGCCTTCCCCGCAGCAAAAATCGCCGGTCAATTCTGGATCCCTCGGCTCCGATTCGAATCTCGAGGACAGTAACGTGGGCTCGACTCACAAGAAGAGGAAAATCAATTCCATCGGGGATGGATCTGCAATTGCTGATTCCAGAAAGGTTTGCTAAATTTTGAGGTTTCTTATGAAAAATTAAACCTAAAACGTTTTCTCTAATTTCAGCTATTTTCCATTTCAGTTTTGGGTATTTCAACGGATTTTTAAAGGGAAAAAAAGCGTCAATTATTTTTTTACGGAATTAAGATTCCTTGAATTTCGGGCCTGTGAGTTAGTGGGGTTTTACACAATTTTGAGTAAATTTGTGGGTTGACTTATTCCCGTTTTTCTTTTGTAATCTACCTTGAATTTTTGCGATTCTTTTTCTCCCACTAATTTTTTTTAAATGTTTATTTTGATAAAAAAGAAAATTATTATTATTATTTTGACTGTGATAGTTTATTAAAAGTTTGGTTTTGTCCTTTCTCTTTCGGTTATTGTAACTGTATTCTGCCTTTTCTGCGACCTGGAAGTTTGAATGCCATGCTACTTTGCTTGGTTGTATCTCAGCCACTAAAGGAAACAAAGCCCCCGACTTGTCCATTACTAATTGCAGTATTATTTTTCATATTTTGTGAACAATTTTCAGGAAGAGAAGTCTGTTTCTGGTGCAAACCTCACACGTAACAGCCAAGGTTTACTCGAGATCCAATACCATTTGTTATAAAAAATTGCAGGTTTTTTTAAGGAATTTTAAATTTTAAATTGTTTATTAAATCATTATCAATATGTGTAGGTGGTCTGTTGGATTCTGGACCCTCGACGGCTTTACCGGACAAAAAGCTGTTACTTTTCATCCTAGATAGGCTTCAAAAGTATTTCAATAACCTCCTGCGAAATTTGGTTTGATTTCTCACGCTACATGTAGCATTTTGATGGTCAGTTTTTCTCAGTTCTGCTGCTTTTGAAATTAACCGATTTCAGGAAGGATACCTATGGCGTGTTTTCGGAGCCCGTAGACCCTGAAGAGGTATGTTCTGCAAATGTCATCATTGTTATTAAACCATATCTTTCTTATTTGATTTATGTTCCCTTTATGCAGCTGCCGGACTATCACGAGGTTATCGAGCATCCGATGGATTTCGGAACTATTAGGAAAAAACTTGCTAGTGGGGCTTATGCCATCTTAGAACAGTTTGAGGTTGGTTAACATGCTTGTCATTTTATCTTTTGCCTTCAATCTTCAATTAGTATAACATCTTTCAGCTTCATTATGAGCATAACAACTATGCTAGATATGTGATCTAGCTAGCTGTAAGATTTTCTTTTTTGATCCGACTGTACGGCAAACAAACAAAATTCTGTTATTGCCATGTTTTTAAATCACTTAAAGCTACGTTTGGTAGGCGTGTTATTTATTCCTCTTGTTTTAGTACATGTGTTAGTAAGACACTAACTTCACTTGGTAATATTGAGCCACTCACATGGCTTAGTTCGGAAAAAGGAAATGAATAAATATTGCTTATTTTGAATAGTTATTATTTTGTAAAAAAAAATTTCTAAGTTTAGATTTCTACGAATTCTTCTTAATGTTATGGCAAATAATTTTACAACTCATGTAATAATTAAGCTATTCCTTGTGTTAAGATCTAAGTAACCAATGGTAGCGGGTTGCATTTAATGAATATGCTACAATGTTCGCCTTCTTTTGGTGACAAAAAAGGGGGTTCTTCTTATACAAATGCTAGAAACTCTTGTGTTTAGTTGTTGCTGGTGTTCATTTTCTTACCCTCTCTGCTCCACTTTTGGTATCATTTCTTTGTTCTCTGAATTCATACGATGCGAAGAGTGTGGAAAGGGAAAAGGATGAAATGATGAACGTGTTTTTTTTTTTCTTTTAAGTTTTCTTTTTGATGGCCATCTGTTGATTTTTCTGGTGATGTTTGGAGATATTGTACAAAGCTTGTCCGGCTGATAGTAAGAAAGAAAAAATGTCCTAAAAAAGACGTTTCCTTTTGTTATCTTGCAGAAAGATGTCTTCCTCATATGTTCAAATGCGATGCAATATAATGCTCCTGATACCATATATTTTCGACAGGTATGGTCAGTCACCAGCTTGTAATTTATATTAAGGGTTCATTTTTTGTTTTTTTCCCCCAGAAAATTTTAATTTGTTTTCAGGCACGATCGATACAAGAGCTAGCAAAAAAGAACTTTGATAATTTACGGCAAGATAGTGATGATAATGAAGCAGAACCAAAGGTGATAAGGAGAGGTAGACCACCAACCAAAAATTTCAAGAAGACACCGGGCCGGCCTTCCTTAGAGCATAATGCTTCAGAATTTTCTTCAGATGCCACCCTTGCTACTGGTCCAGATAACACCTTATGTTCCAATCATGACACTAGAAAAGGACCTCTTGCTTCTGACAATTCTAATATTGCAGACTCATCTGGAAGATTTTATGGTTCTCGCAACGATGTTTATTCAGGCTTATTCACTGAAAACAAATCCAACAGAAATGATGAAGGTACAGGCCAAGAACTCTTACAACCTTCTCCTTTTTTGGTTTTCTTTTCTTATGGCTCTCATTAGTCCACACCCTTCTTATGTGTTGTTTTATGAGGAGTAGTTTGAGGATTGTCTTTCTTGCAGGTTATATGATGAAACACGGAAAAAGGCATTTTGTGCTGGATGAGAATAGACGTAACACTTATAATCTATTTCATTCATCTGCTGCAAGAGAGGCATCCGTGTTGAATACTTTCGCTGGAGAGCGGAAGCAGCTACTGACTGTACGTATCATCGATAAACGACGGTCTTTTAATTTTATCGATTAGAATGCTGAAACTCCTCACTGCTATAAGTTATGTCCGCAAATATTTTGTGCTCTATCCTTTCTGCTGGACTAGCTTGTGTGGGGAATCTTAGATTGTCTTGTGTTTATTTGATATCTTGTTTTTCATTTGGAGCAGGTGGGGGTATACTTGGAGCATGGTTACACACGCAGTCTAGCTCGATTTGCTGCGAACCTTGGTTCGGTTGCCTGGAAAATCGCTTCCAAAAGGATAGAAAAGTGTTTACCAGATGGAGTAAATTTTGGTCCTGGATGGGTTGTAGAAAATGATATTCCAGCACAGAGACCTTTACAACTACCTTCGTTCTCGCTTCCGCCAGGCCAGCAGACATCATCACTGCTCTGCTCCGTTGATCAAAATTCATGTTCTCTCACTGAATCTTATGCCCCGGAAACCCGAGAAGACAAACAACCTGCCAAGCCCAAAGCTGATAATTTGTCTGAGAAACATGTTCCTTCAGTTCAGTCCGTCTCAGGAGGCAATTTAAGTAAGCCTATAGCTGCATCTGGCACTACTTCTGCAACCTTTTCGACTGCTAAAAGATCTCCTGAATCATGGAATCCGAAGACCGAAGCCAGCGATGGATCTCCCAATAATGGTTTTAACATGACAAACAGCAGTGCAGGAGTGGTCCAGCCGAGGCCTCCCTTCCCAGTTCATCCTGGCATGAATGAATACAATAATGGTGCTTACGGGTATAATCTCCCGGCTCATATGGTAAAACACATTGGAACTGCCAAGCCTCCTGGGTTCAGTTTCCAGACATCTCAGACCGTCTCAAGGACTGCTACTAACTTTGCACATCCAGCAACTGCAAACTCGAACTCAAACTCAAACGACCCTAAATTGACAGAAAATTCATGCACAAACAATCTGAGCTGCCCACCTAATTCCGGGCGCGAGACAGAGGCCACGCCAAGATCAATGATTCATCGACAGCCATTGTGGGAAGAATCATCTCCACATCAAAAACCAGTCTCAAGGCTGTCACCAAAACAGAGACCAGATTCAGTTCCACCAGACCTGAACATCAGATTTCAGTCACCTGGGTCACCTAGTTCGACTCGAGCCGATTCAGCTCACCCAGATTTAGCGTTGCAGCTCTGATCAAACATCCATAGATAGGTTAACCATAGATAGGTGAGGTGCAAAGAAGGTCCAGCTGAATAGTGGCTGTTGAAGCTTTCACATTTATAGATTATTGTTGTATAGATCAGTGTATCCTGATTCTTAGGCACATAAGCAAAAGATGGTTTCATTTGGATCCTAATTCATTCCACGATGAAGATGAGCAGTTTGTATTTGGCAATGAACATGAATGCTATGATCAATGTATTTTATGGTGTTATGATAATTTTAATGTGTTTTATATTTTATATAAATTTTTGTTTGTTAATTGTTTACACTATATGAATTTTGAAAATTTTATTATTTTTTATTGGATTTCAAAATTAATTTAATGTTAACTATATGGAATTAAATATAGATTTGTTTAAAACAACCTAGATTTTTTATAAGCGAGTCAAAGGAAGGAAAAATGGAATAAAAAGTAGGGCTTTAAATGAGACCGAACAACTTGCGAGCTACATGAGTTCGATTCATTCAAAACTCCGTCAATATTCGATTCGAATGGACTCGACTCAAGTTCTTAACAAGTCAAAACGAGTTACTTGATACTCGACCCAAAAAACTCATGAATAACTCGAAAAAATAATATATTAATTTTTTTTAAAAATTACATTATTAATAATATTAATATTTATTTGTTATTTTTTATTAAAGAATACAATATAAGGTTTTGCATGGACTTAATGTCTAGGTTTGAGCTTTGAATCGAGTTTGAGTTCGAGCTTTAATCGAGTTAAGTCTAAGAATATTTTGAGCTCAAGTTTTAAGCTCGAGTCAGAGTTGTCTCAGACATTTTCGGAGTCCCGAACGAAAATATAAAAATAGGTCTTATAGAACGAACATATATTCTATTATTTAAAAAATTAATTTAATATTACATTAATAAACCATAAAAGACGAAAATATATTCTATTATTTTGAATAATCAATTTAATATTATATTAATAAACTATATAAAAATATGAAATTATGTGCCTCAATTATAAAGATAGAAAATAATGACTGTTTTATAAAATAAAAAATAAGCGTCATTAGTTATAAACTCTGAGAATTTTTTTGGAAACATACTCTATAGAAAGAAAAATATATTCTATTATTATGAATAATTATTTTAATATTATGTTAATAAACCAAATAGAGGTGATTAAATTATGGACTTTCATTTATAAAATTAAAAAGTAGGGATTATTTGATAAAACTCAAAAAAGTTAAGAATCTTTAATCACAAAAGTAGAAAGTGGGGCTATGAGCTAGGGTTGTAAATAAGACGAGATAGATCGTGAGCTACTCGAGATAGATCGTGAGCTACTCGAGATTGACTCAATCAAAGCTCGATAAATACTCGGATCGAATGGACTCGACTCGAGCTCGAGCTCGACTCGAGTTCTTAACGAGCCGAAACGAGCTACTCGATATTCGACTCGAAAAGCTCGTGAGCAGCTCGAAAATATAATATATTAAGATTTTATTTTTATAGAAATAAATTATTAATAATATTAATATTTATGTATTGATTTTTTTATAAAAAAAATACAGTAAGATTTTTTGTATTTAAAGTTTATGTTCGAGTTTGAGTTTGAGGCTTCAATCGAGTTAAGTTTAATATTTTTTTTTTCATTTCCAGCCTTTTCGAGCTGCTTACGAGCTTCAGTTTAGGATTTTGAGTTCGAGTCGAGCTTGAAATTTTAAGCTCGCGAGTTTTCGAGTCGAGTCGAGCTTCATTTCAAAGTTTTTGAGTCGAGTCGAGCTCAGCAATACTCGAGCTCGACTCGGCTCGTTTACACCCCTACTCTGAGCAATTGCTCGGCGTGTCATCTTATAGTTGGTTCTCTCGAGTTGAACTTTAACTTTTTATTTTGAGTTTGAGTGAGTTTAATAATTTTAAATTTATAAATTTTTCGAGTTAAATCAAATTTAAATTTAAATTTTTCGAATTAAATAATATTTAACAATACTCAAATTCGATTCAATTCATTTAGCTAATAAAAAAGGGAGAGATGAGTTTTCAATAAAAATGAAGTAGAAATAAATATCCCTTAATTTCATTCGTTCTTTCACATGAGATGGGCAAAATTAGATATAACCTTTATGGTGCGTTTGGTTCACGGAATGTAAGATTATCAGTGGAAATAAAAGATTACCAGGGAATAAGATTACTGGGAATGTTGTATTTTGTGTTTGGTTGGTTTAGCAGGAATGTAAGATTACCGTGTTTGGTTAAAGGAATAAAACATTATTGGAATGTATATTTGACCAAATTATCCTTATTATATATTTGTATAATATTGCAAATTGTAAAATATTTATATATTTTCTTTAAAAAATTAAATTCATAATATTTATATAATTTTTTTTTACAAAATTAAAAATATAAAAAAGGTTTAATGAAAGGGTAAAAAAAATTTTAACCCCTGAACTTTATATAAAATTTTAATTATAGACTTTTTTTTTGTAAATCTAAAATAATTTAAAGATAAATTTGTAATTTAACCTTCGTAGAATTTTTATTATTCAATGACAGAAGAATGATATTTTTGAAAAAAAAAATAAAAATTTAAGGGCATTTTAGTCTAAAACGCCGGTAATGTTATAATACCTAAAGAAAGGGAGGTAATGACATTCCCGGTAATATATCCCAAAAAATCTACTATTGGTAATAAAACATTGCCGGGAATGAGATTCCCAGCTAACCAAACAAGGGAATGTGGGATTCCCATCTCATGGGAATCCAACAATCCTTGAACCAAACACCCCCTTAATCTCTACTTCGAAAATGATTATTTATTTACTTTGTATGACAGTATTCCACGTCAGCATGATAAATAAATAATTTTTTTTCTAAAATTGGCTTATTATCTATTGTAATTGAGTTTAAAAATATTTGAATTCAAATCAAATTATTTACCAGCATAATTTCATCTCTCAGATTATTTTTTTTAGTAATGGTAACTAGATTTCATTAATAATGAATCAAAATTATAACGTATCAAAATATTCATACAAAAATAAAATATTAAACATAAAGATACCAAGAAAAATAAAATCTTCGATTGAGAATGAGGATTAACATCAAAACTTAATAACCTCAAAAGAAACTAATTGTCTTTGTCTAATGAGACGTTTTGCGAAGCGATAAAGGAATGATGAGGGAACCAAACAAATTGACAGGCTATTTCGCTACACAATTCTGATTACACCGTCAAACAATCTTTTACCAAAGAGGGGATCTAACTATACATGACTACCGACAAACCAATCAGAAAATAAATGTTAGTGATGATTTTTGTGCAAGTACGAAAATGACCACAGAGATATGCAAAAAAATATATATAAAAAATTCATAAAAATCATAACACAAGAGTAGAGAAAACGCGTGCTACAAGAGCAAAGAAAAATGTGTCACAAGGACATAGATTTCTACTCAAAATTAAAAAGACCCAAAAGAAAAAGAAAATAAAAATCATAAAAAAAAACTAATAGTCACCTACGATTGACAACTAAAATTAAGATTAATATTATCGTCGACTAAATAAAATTAAAAAAGAAAGAAGAAAATGATATAAAAATATTTTAAAAAAATAGGTTGAAAGAGAGAGAGAGACGGTTAGGGTTTTAAGATTATTAAAAGCATAGTTAGGGAAAATCCCTAAATTCAAAAGGGCAATAAAGAAAAAGGCGTATGTAAGAACATCTTTAACCGCCTGCTGATAAACTTTGACATCTTTACAATTAAAGATTCATTTGAACAAATAAAATAAAATGTGAAGTCTTTGAATTTCGTTTACGAAGATATGATTAAGAATAATAAATTATGATATTTATTTATTTTGTTTGACCGACTTCTTGAACGAGACACGCCAGTTGACCCATAATCACGTCGTAGTCTTCAACACTCGATCATCCACAGACTTGTTCGATTTAGTAATTTGCCGGAAAATTCATTTTTTATTATTAAAATTTCCATTAGTTGCTGAATTTTGCTTGAATTACAAAACCCCAAAGTCTCCCTTAGTGGAAAACATAAACACAGGATCCAAGTCAATTTTCAAATGATACAAGCAAAGAAATAATCACACTGACCTTTTTTTGGGTGTTTAAATTGAGAAGAAGAAGAAAAAATTGAATTTTTTTTGTCAACTTGTTGAAAGATATTTATTTCTGCAAGGAATTTCTTTGTTTTGAACAAAAAAAGACAGAGGAGATATTTTGAAGATGGGAATTTGCTGGGGTTCTCCAGCTGATAATCCAACACCAAGCACCAGTGCTCATCTCAGTTCAGGTGTTCTTCTTTTGCAAAACAAAGATTGTTTCATGGTTTTATAAAGAAAAATCCATTTTGTTTTTTTGTATTCATCACCAAAAACCCACTTCTTGGTTCTGTTTTTGTATGTTATTTTAACCTTTGATTTGTGTATGTTGAGAACTGTGTTTTTTTATTCATTACATTCTGTTGTCTGCTGTGTTCCATTTGCTGTAAAACAACTCCATGTATTTGAAAAATTCACAGCCAACATTTGCTAAGCACATCTCAATACTGTTGTAATTTGTGTTTTCTTTTGCTGTATTAAGAACTCCATATGTTTGACAAATTCACTAAGAGCATGTCAATTATGTGATGGCAATAGTGATATCTCAAACAACCAGCAACACAGCATCTAGGGGCAGTAACATCTCCGGTTACAGCAGGTTCTCGGCTTCTAGCGGTGACGAGCCTTCTCCAAATGGGCATGTTTCGCCAAGTTTTAATATGAGGATCTTCAGTTTTGCTGAACTGAAGTCTGCAACTAAGAATTTTAGGCCTGACATGGTACTCGGTGAAGGCGGTTTCGGGAAAGTCTTCAAAGGCTGGCTTGAAGAGAAAGCACCAGGGAAGAGTGGAAGTGGAACCCTCATTGCTGTTAAAAAGCTCAACTCTGAGAGCATGCAAGGATTTGAGGAATGGCAGGTGAATTTTCATTAGTCTTGAGAAAGAAGTAACTTAAATGTTAATGTCTATTTGTTTTCTCTGAACCTAAGATTTGTTCAAGCATGTAAGATTTCAGCTCTGCATAAAGTAAACATTTACGTTGCAATAGTCCATTGTCCTCAGATTGACGACGAACGATATATATATTAAGGACGTGCAGAAGTGCTCTGCTAACTGCATATCAAATGACTTCTTAACAGTTCATAGCTCATTTTAGCCAAGAGGCCTGAGAAGCGAACCATTCTTCAATACAAAGCTATATTATTCTGCTCTGCTAGTTTGCATTGCTATTTTCGGACAAAGTGTTTGGCTGTTTGCAGGCTGAAATATATCTAATTTTGTATCATAAAATTAAGATTGTAAGATTTCACTCCTATAATCTGAATGAATGACATGAGACATGATTGGGACTGTTTTAACCAGTTTCGCCTCCTGTGATTCCCTAAAGAAAATCTTCAGCTCCAGGACTTTTACAAACGTGATATGTCGGATTCGTCGTTTTAATAAATTCTTTTGACTTCTACTTAATATATACCTTCATAATCTCTCTCTATGATGTAGGTCTACCAAAACATCCACTCCTGCACTTCAGGAATCGTTCAGTGCTTGTTTTACTGGTTTTCTTTGTATAGTAAAATGTATAGGAATTCCCAGTTATTGAGGCTTTTGCTTCCTTATCTATTGGTGCAGTGCGAGGTAAATTTCTTAGAAAGGTTGTCTCATCCGCACCTCGTAAAGTTGCTCGGATACTGTTGGGAGGATAAAGAGCTTCTTCTGGTTTATGAGTTTATGCAGAAGGGTAGCTTGGAAAACCATCTTTTCGGAAGTAAGAGTTCAGAAACTAGTTGCTTATATATCCGAATTTTTGTTTGAGCATATATTCATGTGTGCACACTTCCCATATCTTATTTCTGTAGATTTAACTTTGTTCAGGGGGATGTGCTGTTCAATCGCTTGAATGGAATATACGGCTTAAAATCGCAATAGGAGCAGCAAAGGGCCTATGTTTCTTGCACACTGCAAACAAGCAAGTAATTTACAGAGATTTCAAAGCCTCGAATATACTACTTGACGGTGTAAGTTTCCATAAAAGCCTCGAATATTCATCTTTAAAACTTGGATTCATGTGTATTTGGTATAACTTTACTTTGACTACTGGTTAAAATGCAGTCCTATAATGCCAAGATATCGGATTTCGGGTTGGCCAAATTCGGTCCTTCAGCTAGCAAATCACATGTGACAACAAGGGTCATGGGAACATACGGTTATGCGGCTCCGGAATATGTAGCTACTGGTAATCTTCAGACAATTTTTCTGTGCTTTGCACTATATTACCGCAACTTTTAGACAATAGAACGAAGGCTACTTGGCACTTCACATGATTTGATTGCCTTGCTGATTCAACAGGACATTTATCGGTAAAGAGCGATGTGTACGGTTTTGGTGTTGTTTTACTCGAAATATTAACAGGCTTGCGAACACTAGATCCTAACCGTCCAAGCGGGCAACAAAATCTGGTGGAATGGGTGAAACCATATTTATCTGAGAGAAGAAAACTAAGGAAGGTAATGGACCAAGGATTGGATGGAAAATATCCTCCCAAAGCTGCATTTCGAGTAGCTCAGCTTGCTTTAAAATGCCTTGTGCTTGAACCGAAGAACCGTCCATCAATGAAAGAAGTTGTGGAGACTTTGGAACAGATTAAGTCAATCAGTGAAAATCCGAAAGTACCAAGAAACCATTCTCCTCGTCGCGCAACTCGCAGACATAAAGAGCGCAGCCATTAGACCATCGATCTCAACTTGCTCCAAGCATGAAGCATATCATGCCTATTGAACCATCCGCGGCTGAGGTAACTTACTGCATCTATCCATCGGTTGCAGGTCTCGATCTTAATATGCTCATTGTGTCGCAAGCATCTCGCGTTTCTTTATTTTTCGTATTGTGTTCTAGAGTCTATGATTTTTATTTTTCAGTGTGACTCGTGTTGGACCTATTGCTTGGTAGCTAAATTGTTCTTATTTCAGCAAGTAAAAACGAGTTGAGCTTGATAACTTTGATTGCGTAGTTTTACCTGCATTATTGTGCTGTTTATCCTAAATAAACTTCCATGATGTTCATCGTTTCTTTCAAGCTAAAATTTAAGCTGATAATATGATTTTTGAGGGAGTTAATTGTACTCGGTTACAAGTTCGAACATCGGATCCTTCACTCTTCTCAAAGCATGCATAAACTTTTTGTTCAACTTATCATGGCAAATCCATGCATCTGTGTTTAATCAAAGAAGGTTATGCACCATTTGCTTCCATTGTGGAGTTTGACATGAAATGTGGGGACTCGAAATCCGCATCGAGTTGGTTTGATCGCATGCAAAACACAGATTTTCTTAGAAAACATCAGTACGGCCACCTTAATCGGTGTTGATATAGGTGGTCTACGGTGGTTTGTGAAAAATGGGATACCTAACAGCGATGGACCGAGTGAACAGTCGCCCTCCTTAAAATTTTAATTTCTTATATATTTTAGATATTCTTTCTTTTACCTTCGGTTAAAAACTTATTTTTATCCAATAAAAATTTATAAGAATATCTCCTCTTCAAACTTTATAAATTCATCTGATGTCGTAACTAACGGTGCGGACAATCTCATCCCTACAATTTCACACGAATGGGAATGGTATCGGCAGAACCCTAAGATACTTCTCCTCCCTAAAACCTGAAAGGAACCCTAATGGCATCCCCTTGGGAAACGATATCAGACGGCCCTCCCACTTACCGCAAGCGCCACCTCTCCGATTGCGCAAAGCCCACGACGCCGTTATCAGATGGTCTCTCTCCCCTTAATAAGACCCGTGAATTCCCCAACTTAACCGAATGCCAAGCAATGTGGAACCCGATTTGATATCGCCAGCACCAAAAAGCAGATTAAAACGCTTTACAGCGAGTGGCGCATTGTTCTCTGCCCAAAATGTTACCATCGTGTTGACTCATCTCAGATATGCTCTTATTGCTTCAAAGAAGCGTCCGAAGATTGCTTTTATTGTGCTCAATGTAAGCGTTCCCTTCACAAAACTTGCTTTCTGGATTTCAAATCTGTTCCGCCGTGGTCATACTCTGTTTGTGGTTCGGAATTTACTGTTTGCATTGATTGTTGGGTCCCTGAAAAGATTGCTTGCAAAAGAGGGATTTTTTGGCGCGAAAGAAATGCTAAGAATCCTAGAGTTTCGGAAGTTAGGAATGGTGAGGCAGCTAAGCTGTTAGAAGACGTGGTGAAAGATGCTAATTGTGCAGTGGAAGAGACGGTCGGGGATGCGGTTAAGGCAAGTGGAATGGCTGTTAGTAAAGCGGTTGTGGCCAACCAGGCGGTGGAATTGGAAGATTGTGATGATGCTGAATTAGCATTTCAATTGCATAGGGCAATGAATAGTTCACCTAGGATATCGAAATTTGTCTAATGATAATAGCTTATATACTTTAACTGCTGGTAGTAGTAGGGTTTTAAGTTGTTTGAAACTAACGATGATGGTTTATGCTCGGCATTGAAAGAAACCAGCTGAGATAGAACTAAGCGATATAGTTTATGCTCGCCATAGAAAGAAACCAGTGCAAATAGTTGATGCACGACATAGAAAGGAAGCATGTCAGAAATTTAATGCACAACATAGAAATAAACTTGGAATAAAGCATGCCTTATTAGCCTAATTTGAAAAATCCTCGCGGGGGATGAATCACTGTGGGTAGCATGGATTAAAAGCTATGTTTTTAAGGAGCAGGATTTTTGGCAATTCCAAGCTGGTACGAACGTTAGTTGGAGTATTAACAGAATTTTAAAATTGCGGACAGAAGCGCTACCTATTATTTCTGCCGATTCTCAGCAAGTTAGGGAAATTTGGAACTTGATTCGACTCAAAGGGCAGCAAGTTCATTGGCACAAACTAATTTGGTTCCCATTACATATTCCAAAGTTCAGTTTGATAGCTTGGATGGCTATGCTTAACAGGTTGCCTACTAGAGATCGACTTCTTAGAATGGGAATATGCACAGAAGATCTTTGTGTAAACTGCAGCAATTCTCAAGAGACAAGGGATCATATATTCTCGCAATGTCCTCTGGCAGTAAGACTCTGGAATGCTATTTTGAATCTTAATGGGATGAAGTCTTCAATCCAGACATGGGATGAAATGGTTTCAAGGGCAAGTTCTTTATGGAAAGGGCGGTCCCTTCTTACCACCATCTTGAAAATCTCTTGGACAGCTTTAATTTACTTATTGTGGCAGGAAAGAAATCAACGAATGTTTCAAGGCCGTTTTAGAACGGTTGAATGCTTGTTTAAAGAAGTTAAAGACCATGTTGGAATTCGACTTAGAGGAACTAATATTAATAGACTTGATAGAACTAACTTAAAGCTTTGTAATGTTTGGGATATAGTCTAACCAATCTTGTATAGAATGTTCTTTAATTTTGTGATGTACGATTGGTTGATTGGTTGTATCTGAACTTCTTTGGGTAATAAAATCAAAATTATCCAAAAAAAAAAAAAACGATGGTTTATGTACGGCGTGGAGAGAGACGTTTTAAGTGGTTTATGTACGGCGTGGAGAGAGACGTTTTAAGTTTGTTTATAAGTGGCGTAGAAAGCACAATGATAACAAGGAAAAGTCTGGCGTTGAAATGGGATTGAAGGGGAGAGAGGACATATGCTCTAGTTTGTTGTCAAAATCTGGGGCTGATGCTAAAACGAACTCTGAGTCTAAACCTTCTAATTACCAAGATGACTCTATTGTCTTTGATAATATGCAGTATTATGGGAAGCTTGTGTACTATTTCTCGACATACAATAGGAAGAAATCAAAGTGGAAGGGAACTCAGTTGGCAAAATTGAGTTCCTTTATGATGGATATAACCTTGAAAGTCAGGTTTCATCTTCTCAATTGCCTGAATCTTTAATGATCTCGATTGATTCTCTTCAATGTTATGCTTTTTCTCAACGAGCTGCAGCTGCAAGTGACTCGTGTCAAGATCACCCCTAGACTGACAAGGTAATAAAAAGTTTTGCCTTGCTGTTATTTCATTAATTATTTTGTTTTTTTATTTTCGATTATCAAATATTCTCAGTTGCAATGGAAATTTACATAGGGGCCTTCCCTGTCTTCTGATTATACTGTCATTATGCATCACACCATTATTTACCCGGTGTTGGATTGTGGATTATTTGTCCGAGTCTCCGGGATGCCTCAGTGTTCATAGCACATCTTGGTGCCCTTGATGATAGATGGTTATCATTATTTGTGCCAGTGGACGAAAAGTGATATTTTAAGTGGGTATGTTAGCTTTTGGAGTCTTTTGGATGCCATTTAAAATGTCTTCCAATCATGGGATGGTAGTATCCACAAACTGGATGGGTAAGCCTAATCTTTGTGTCTCCTTCCTGTGATTTGCCGCTGTATTTTCAGATAAATCTTGTTAATTTTCTTCATTTTGTAGTCTCTAGAACAGGGTGAAGAAAAAAACCTTCAAAATTAATGGAAAATGAAAGTGGGGATCCCAAGTCTAACTATGGATTTCTAACATGAAATGATATGCATCATGAGCTTTAACTTGTGAGTCCTCTACAATTAATATAAGTGTTTCTGCCAGCTTTCAAATTTTTTTTATGAACATAATTAAATGATGATCGGGTAATTTTGAATAAAGTCATAGGTTTTAATCATAGTATATTATAATTTTCTTAATATATTGAGAAAAGTTCTCATTTTTATGGTGAAAATTCTCTTATATTTCGTTGTATTTTGTTAACTCAATCAGTCAATCGAATAAGCAATTAAATTTATCTTTGTTTGAGCTTCCACAAACACAACAAAATACAACTGAATCAACAGTAGATGAGCACCAAAGATCTTCAATAGCTCTTAACATAGTTTATAATAACACCACAATTAGCTATAATCTAATTCTTGTCAATTTTGAAGCTGTACAAGCATCTATCAAAATATTGTGAAATTTTCTATAGAAATTGAGAATAAATTCACAAGCTTACTTTTCAATATTATTGCATGATATATGTCCTTAGCATTGAACATCCCTAGTTTTCTTTGAATCTTTCCTTACTTTCATCTTAGGCATGGACTTTGAGATCTCAATAGGGGGATAACGATCATAATCAGACTCTTTAACATCCACGACATATCAGGTACGTTAAAGTTGCTAGCCAAGTCCTGAGATTTTCCTATATGAATTCCTATTGATCCTTGCACTTGAACTAAATGCAATCCTGGAAGTAATGTGGCGGCTTAACAATGAAAACTTCCGGCTGAGATTTACAGGTTGTCTGGTCCCCCGGACAAGAAAATGGACTCAATCATATTATGGAATCTTCCTTATTGATCTGAATGCCTGGACAAATTTAACACTCTAGGGCTCCAATGTTCTACGCTTCCGCAATTGTCTTTAAAAGCATGTTGTTGGGCAAAGGCCCACTATTGCAATCATATGTCATTATTTACTCATCAAGAAGTTGAGGCCTCGAAGCAAACACAAGGTTGTGCTTCTTCGTCATCTCTTTTGCTAGTTCGAGCGATGAAACAACGACAGCTGATACGTTGTCGAGATGTAGATGCATTAATGGATCATATTTCTCGACCAAGTTCTTCAAGCGAGGATGGGACAGTGACAGGGCCGGATGTATGTGGCTTCCCACGCCTATTATTTTGAGAATAATGTTAAATTTAGTTTAATTTGTTAATGAAAATAGAAAGAAAAAAAAAAGGAAAATTTGCATACCCAAGTTTTTTAGAATTGAACATTAAAATTCTGAACTCCATTTTTTAGGCAGTGAGCCAAAA